TTATAAACGAGGCATTTGTTGCATCCAGTGGGGACATAATTACAGATTATAATGACTTATACTGTCTTTTTACGCATTGCGTTGCATCGCGGTGCGTAAACATAAAACCATGTCTGCATTTGTGATCGGAGAAATGACAAACAACAAGCGCTACTCTACACTGCTCAAAACTCGCGTTTGAATCGTCAGTGGCAAATTCTTTAAATATGAAAACGTACTTACAGTCTGTGAGTCAGAACAGCCGGCATTGTAGTCTACTCTTCCAGGATCAGGAAACAGTCCTCCATAAAATGTGCTGCACACATCTGAATATTTGGGTTGAACTGTTCTGGAACATTGTTGTAAATACAACTTAACCACTGATTTCTAGTCGTGTCCTCTTTTGGAAGGCCAAACAAAGTATTTTCGCTTTCGCAATGAAACACATAGTCTCTGCCTCAGACGTCATGCCCACGGACCGTTGGCTAAACGTCTGATGCATATGGGACACAAAAGTGGAAACACTTCAGGAGTCTCGAAGTCGTCATCGGATTGGTTGAAATCTACAGGATTTCAGGGAGACGTGTGCGTCACATTCTTTAACGTTCCGCCTAGAAACAAAGATGCCATGACGCCAAACCCCCTCACGAAAGAAGAAAACTGTAGTGTTTACAACTGTGACGAGGAGCGCTTATCAGGATCAACTAAACGCTGGAGTTTCAAAAGTATGTGAAATATTTAAAGTTTGCGACATAGAAACTTTAAAATACGTCCGAGAGTTTTACACACCGGTCTGTTATTGTGGCGACATTTCCATGCCCCGAAACGTGATGCTGAATGAAACGAACTGTGATTGGTTGTTTGACATATCAGACAAACAGCCTCATGGGCGGGCCTTGGCCAACTTTAGGGATCTTATCTATTCATGAACAGCTTGTAACACTCCAAAGAGAAAGGAAAACTTGAAATCGCATCATATGACCCCTTTAAGAATGTCATAGACATTTTTTTTATTTTGAATGAAAACCAGAGCTGGGGCTCAGGTTCTTGGACAAAATTTTTCAATTTCTTTAAAAATGTAATTTTCAATTATTATTTTTAGTTTTGAATGAATGAATGAATAGAAAAAATAGAAAGAAAAAAAAGCAATGGACTTGGTGACCCCACTTTATGTTTATGTAATCATTCTTTACAAAAGTACAAAAATTAGGGGAAAAAAAACAGTATGAAAAGCTACTCTTTATACTAATAATTTCTCATTAAAAGCCAAATCATGGGCAAAACCACAGATGACAACGATAACCAGGGTTTCACAGAATATGGTAACAAAATATTCCCATAATGTTACTTCATTTGAGATTCTCAGCTATTTTAACATTGTTGTGGGCTGGTATTTCTTGTAGAAATCTCTGGCCAGGATGCTTCTATGGGGCAGTAACGGGGTGGAGAAAGACATTCGAGCAGCAGTCATGTGGTATGCCAGAAGCGCCCTGCAGATGGTCGATCCCACCGCCATGTACGACTACGCCATTCTCCTCCTAAAGGTGATCCACAGGTTACATGGAAATCTCTTGAGCCGTATCTTTTCAAGCATTTGCATTGTAAAAAGCGCACACACGTTTGTTTTGTATAAGTATGAACTCCCGTCACAACATTAGGAAAATAAATGCAAAATGGTGTATCTGTAGATACTTTCAAGCCTATCTGTCATGTCTGAGAAACAACTGCTTGCTTTGTGCTTGAACAGGGCACAGGAGTGAAGAAGAACCGAACACTTGGCCTTGAGCTTCTGGAGAAAGCTGCCGACATGGTGAGTACAAGTATGAGCATGTTTGTGGTTGTGTGTGGAAGCTTTGTGATTTCTATAATGGGCCATGTGTGTTTTTCTCAGAGTTCTGTAGAAGCTCTGAATGGCCTCGGATGGTACTACAGTACCATAGTAAAGGACGGAAGAAAGGCCTTTCGATACTTTGAGTTGGCGGCTCAGAATGGCAGTCGTGATGGGCTCTTTAATGTGGGCGTCTACCATTTAAATGGTGACAATCCTGACAAACCAGACAGTAATGAGGTCAGAGGTCGCACATTTAAAGGAATAGTTCACCCCAAAATTAAAAAATTGCTGTTAATTTATACACCTTCAGGCCATCCAAGATGTAGGTGACTTTTTTTCTTCAGTAGAACACAAAAGAAGATTTTTAGCTGAAACCGTGGTACTCGGTGATTCATATAATGCAAGTCAGCGGAAAGTTACCATTTTTGATAATTTAAAAAAGCATATCAAGGAACACAAAATGAATACCCATGGCTCCTGACGATATATTGAGGTCTTATGAAGCAAAACGATCGGTCTGTGCAAGAAACTGAACATTATTTACAACATTATTACCTGTAATCCAGAGGAAATACGATTCTTTGCCGCAAACTGATTCTTCGGTCCGAGTCGAACTGTTTACTCAGTTCAGTGACTGTTGGAGGAACTGGAGTGCTGAATGATTAATTCGTCATATGATCAGATACCCCACTATTTTGGCTCATTTCGAGTCAGAGTGACTGTCAGGCGCCTAAAAGCAAGTTTTGATTGAGCAACTGATCAATCAGTTTGATTGAGTGATTGATTGAGTTTTGATCTGTGCTGCCCAAGCCGCAAACTATTTCAGACTGGTTCAACTAGTTCACTAAAAAGAATTGGTTAAAAAAATGATTCATTTGTGAGCTGGACATCACTCCGGACCATTTGTCTGAGGCTCTGGATTACAGGTAATAATGTTGTAAATAATGTTCCGTTTCTTGCACAGACTGATCGTTTCGCTTCATAAGACCTTAATATATCTTCAGGAGCCATGGGTATTAATTTTGTGTTGCCTGATATGCTTTTTTAAATAATCAAATATGGGCAGCCACTGACTTTCATTGTCTGAAACACCAAGTACCCCGGTCTCAGCTAAAAATCTTCTTTACTGTTCTAGAAAAGAAGAAAACATTTTATTCTAACTTTCCCTTTAACCTTCAATGGATAGTTAAAAATGGAGAGTTTCATATTTTATGGCATGAGTTTATAGTGTGTTGATTTCAATGATTTTTTCAGACTGCTGCGTTCCACTACTTCTTGGATGCGGCTCAGTTGGGTCACGTGGACGGCGCTGTGCAGTCGGCATTGTTTCTCTCCACTGGATCCATACAAGGAGTGCCAAGAGATCCAGACAAAGCTGTGCTGTATGTCAGTCTCATATATCCTGCTCACCTGAGCACAACTCTCAACAATCCTTCAGTGACTTCAGTTAGCACAGCTGCCACCACACATAGACTGAAAAACATTGACAAGTTTGACAGATTTGACAAAATGTCTAAATGCAAATGTCAGGGTCATCTGATCAGTATTCAATATGTTTTGTTATTTAATATGTTTCTCTCTTTTGTTGGGTTTCTCCGTTTCTTCAGGCTGTTGAAGCGAGTCAGTGAGATGAATGGACACCTGGGCTTCATGGTTAAAGATGCTCTTCAGACTTATCAAAGAGGATCATGGTGAGATATCCATCTGTCCATCCATCCATCCATGCATCCATCCATCCATACATCTCTTCATCTATTTATCCATCCTTTCATACTGTACATCCATACATCAATCCATCCATCCCTGCATACAGTAAATCACCCATCCATCCATCCATCCATCCATCCCTGCGTACAGTACATGCATCCATCCATCTATCCATCCATCCATCTATCCATCCATCCATCCATCCATCCATCCCTGCGTACAGTACATGCATCCATCCATCTATCCATCCATCCATCTATCCATCCATCCATCCATCCATCCATCCCTGTGTACAGTACATCCATCCATCCCTGCGTACAGTACATCCATACATCCATCCATCCATCCAGCATCCATCCATCCATCCCTGCGTACAGTACATCCATCCATCCAGCATCCATCCATCCATCCATCCATCCATCCAGCATCCATCCATCCATCCCTGCGTACAGTACATCCATCCATCCCAGCATCCATCCATCCATCCCTGTGTACAGTACATCCATCCATCCAGCATCCATCCATCCATCCCTGCATACAGTACATCCATCCATCCAGCATCCATCCATCCATCCATCCATCCCTGAGTACAGTACATCCATCCAGCATCCATCCATCCCTGTGTACAGTACATCCATCCATCCAGCATCCATCCATCCATCCCTGCGTACAGTACATCCATCCAGCATCTATCCATCCATCCATCCATCCCTGCATACAGTACATCCATCCAGCATCCATCCATCCATCCATCCAACCCTTCATTTATCCATCTATCCATCCCTGCATACAGTACATCCATCTATCCATCTATCCATCTATCCATCCAACATCCTTCCATCTATCTAACCTTACATCCATCCATTCCCCTCTTAGGGTAAAACCCTTGAGTTGTACTGTCTTGTTTTCTAGGGGTCATGTGATTTCAGAAAACGTCTGTATAAAGTCAAATGGGCACTTTATGACACTTTTTCTTTTTTGTCTTTAAATATTTTAATGGAAAAAAGTGACCAGCACATTATTCACAAAGGAAGTATAACTTCCTTTGTGTTACACAGAAGAAAAAAAATCAAACTGTTTTGAAATGACATATTTCTGAATGTTTGTGTGACTGTCTATTCAAGGGATGAAGCGTTGGTGAAATATGCCATGCTGGTAGAAACTGGTCTCGGTGTGGCACAGCACAACGCCGCCCATCTGTGTGAGGTGAACCGTCTCAAAATCTGTCAGTCCAACCATCTCAAGCCTTTCATTTCCTGGCTGTTGTTTTTTTCTAATCCTATTATTTCATGTGTATTTCCAGCTGTTAGATCACAGTTCTGCCTGTCAGTGGAGGTACCACAACTACTCCACCTACAACCACATCCCTCAGGAAGCTGGTGAGCCTCTGCAGACCAGCAGAAATGACACTATGACACTACTACTTCCCTTTCTCATAATAGTTTTCTTGGTCCACCTCTCTCTGTCTCTTTCTGCTTTTATCTGCTTCTGTTTCTCTGCATTCTGCAGGCTTGTTGCGGATGGGAGATTATTACAGTGAACTGACTGATATGGTGAAGGCCATAGATATGTACAGTACAGCAGCAGTGTATGGCAGTGCTCAGGTACACACACACACACACACATACACGCACACGTACACACACA